TTAGACAAACAGGTATAAAATGCAGACTTCAAGGCTGAGATAAGTTGTGTCTGCTCTGCAGTAAGTCATGTCTGTTCCGCCATGATTCATGTCTGATCAGCAATAAGTCGTGTCTGTTTTACAGTAAGCCAGGTCTGTTTACACGAGTCTAGTCTAATCACAACCCCACGGGCCAGCCCTGATCCAGACTAGAAGTCCAAAAGACAGGCCGACGGCCAGGGCGGCACCAGACGATGGGGAAGGATACTAGGACATACACATTGCGCCATCAAGGACTGGGCATAAGTCCCATACGAATCTTGAGACTTAACGAGGGGCACGCCGAACCAATACAGCACTATAAGGGGTTGGCCGACCTCTCATACGACAGAGGTGATTGAGCTGTTCCTTCCAGGGGAGAAATGAGAGAGAAGGGAGAAAGGATCAGACAAGCAGACAAACTGAGAAAAGCAGACAGGCATACAGGACAAGCGAAAACAAACGGGCAAGTCCAACACAGGCACACACCGACAGCAGGCGAATCAACAACCAGACGAACAAAATAAAAAGGCTTGCTGTTTGGACTGGCACTAGTGCCGATCAAGCCGCAAGCTATGAGCGGAGTACGTACCCTTCCCAGATATTGTACCAGGAAGATAACTTGCAAACTGTCACTACCTTAATACTGTTGTTGCTGGTAAAATCATTACTGTTATTATTGACATTTTATTAATATTATTATTATTATTATTATTATTATTATTATTATCAAACTTGTTGTCTTCAACATAGCACGTTTACAGATAGAAATGGACGTGGATGATGTAAAACGCCCCAAAGTTTAGAAATTGGGCTTGACCAAGGACAAGGTCTGGGTCAGGCGCACAGTAGCCCCGCCCCACCCCGCACAACCCCCTGCGCAGACGCGTCAATCGCGTTTACTGGCGTTCACTGAACGCGCATTCAGTGCGTTCAAAAGTCGAACGCAGAATGCGCGTTCAATGAACGCGTGGTAACACGGTCTCACATATATTTCTTCCTTTCAGTCTGATTGAATCTTGAAAAGAAAACAAAATTCATAGGGGAATACATGCATACAAAAGTCAAACTAGAGGGAGATAGTCAAACATGGGTATAGTGGGGTCATATAGATAGAAAGAAGTATACCTGATGGTTCCTTGCCTCCAGAACTCCTCCCGAATTTCGTCAGAGCTCCCGCAATCGGTGGGCTGACTCCCCACAGAGTCTGGCAGCAGTCCTACGGGTTGCAATCTCGCCTATTGCCTTCCTCTCCTAACCAGGATTATGCTTTGAGTAAGAAGGGCAGAAGGAGGGATCTCAGATGCTCGAGATACAAAAGTGGGACAAACTCAACTCGCAGGAGAGGGTCTTGTAATCTTCAGTCTCCCGAGGTTTCCGCAATGGAGACCAGAATGCGCTGCAGCCTAGTTAACCAGAAGTCAAACCACCAGAGGTGGTCTCTCTGGCGATCCTCCAAATGAAGCAATACCTCTCCGTCAACAATCACATTCTATTCATAACACTTGCAGTCCGAAATGCCTCGGCCTTCGCTCGAGATACGAGCTGTGGACCAAAGACACAACCTTCTTCCTCTCCGGAGTGAAGCAAAGTGCGGTCTAGCTGGCTGTGCAACGGTGGAGTATGTGCAGGTTCGGGGTATGCAGCCCCCATCAAGCCTCTCTACAAGCACCCTGATCACTGCTGGGCCCCACCACTTCTCTTGGTAGGATGAATAGTATGCCAACCAGCAGATGAATCTTCAAACCCCCGTTGTTCTCTACTTATTATTTTGTACATCAGAACATGCAGCGTATCGGCTTGAGTAGGTAAATCCGCCTATCGCAGTTGGCCTGTTGTTGCTTTATCCACAGGGTAAGCACCGTGCCATTCAAACGGTAAGTCGTTAACCTCTACAGTTGGCCTCATTCTTCTTCACTCCAGTGGCATGCACATTGTACTAACCATCAACTAGGTCATGCTGCCTCTGCAACTTCACTCCTCACTCCTACAGTTAGCAGTTAAATAACACACTGGTCAACAGACAATCTTGCAATCCGCACCAGAATGGTCTTCAAGCCTAGTGCCTGGTCTTCGGTAACTTTTCCTGACGAGGTGAGCAACACACCGGCCTATAGGTAAGTCTTCAACTATGTCGTTCCCTTTCTCTCGCCCCCTTCAGTCGCTAGAATAGGCACTATAGCTGATAGGTAAGCCTCCAAGCTGGTCTTCGATGTAGACTCGAAGATGACCAGTGGGATTACGACGGGGCACTGCTTCAGCAACAGTTTGGACGAGCACCTCCAGGATCTCGTTGACAGGTGGAGGGGATGAGAGGAAACCTTCACTAGAACATGAGTTGAATGTGTCATGGGCAGGTAAGTATATTGGTTCCAACTCATTTCTGCTTCCCCTTCTCACTGGATTTATGAAATGAGAATGAATTCCCCGCTAAATTGCGGTAGATTCATCTTACATATTTAGAATCGTATGTCCCATGCGCAGCCCAAATAAATCATACCGCTGACACTAGCCATGAATTCTTAAATCCGACTTCAGCATTGGACTCGCCCAGAGTGGGAACCTCTGTTTCGTAACTCCCTTCGCCCGATCCCGTTAAGAATCAGACAAGGTTAGTGATCTCCGCAGCGGCCATATCCGACATCACCATTCCTCTCACGCGGCTCATCTTTCTACTAACACCCTTTTTACTGCTCTACTCCTAGAACTAACATCATCATTGAACTCGCCTCACCTTAAAACTCTAATTTAGATTCTTACTCCACTCGATTCGATCAAGAATCCCGCGATGCTCGATTCTTCACTCCCGCCATTGCTCCTTCTGTCGTAGCTCGGGGCACCCCCTACCTTCATCTATCTCCTATCCTACTGACTTTCTTCTAAATCTAACCTTTCCATTCGATTCGCCCCGTCTGAAAACCTCTGTATAGTATTTTACCTCGCGTGATTCCATGAAGAATCAAGTGAGATCTCCACTTAATTCTTTTGTTATGCCTCCTCTCTTGTTTCTTCCACGCACTATCTTTTCTACTTAGCTCCCTTCCCACTAATCCAACGGCCAAACTGATCCTGCCATACGATTTGCCTGATGTCATAACCCAAAAATCGGCCTTTACTTCGCCTGATTCCGTTAAGGAATGGGCGAGTTGTGTCTCCCTCACTCCGCCATAATCACTTCTCCCCGTTGCGCTCGTCTTGCTTCTTCGCGTGCACCTGGCACAATTTGTCGGTCAGGTTCGATCTCTCTCCTCTACTACTCTCCGCACTTAGGTTTACCCGTTCGTTATACCTCATCGTCTTCGCATTTCGGTAGGCCGCAGGCTGCGCGCTAACCCATGTTGTTCGGGTGTTGGTCATCACAAACAGTAGGTTGGTACTCATGAAAGCCGGATCTCAATAACGAGCGAGAAACTCTCACATGCCGACTGTCTGTCTAAAAAAAACAGCGCTGCAGCGCTCAGCATATGCTCTGTCGTCGGGCAGTTTCCTGATGCAGCTAGTGGGAGGACACAGGGACCGCCTCGACACTTGCACCTCATGCCTAAGTAAAGTGCAGCCTGATGCAGATCTTGGTGGTAGTGGTGAATATTCAAATGGGGATTTTGAAGATCGAGGTGGGGGAGGAGACCCACAAAGCTCGCCGCGGTGCCCTCCCTATGGCCCCCGCTGCTGTGCCCTGGCTGTGGAGCCACAGGATAAGGCCAACGCAGGATAAGGCCAAGGCGAGGCACGACTTACCTCCACCTTACAGGAGTTGTCACCTCCCTTCAGTGGACATATCCCCGCCGAGCTACAAATCCACAATACGAAAGCTAATCCCCGTCAATCGCAGAGGTGGACCAGCCGAGGGCGTTTCTCGTTCGTTGTAGCATAGGGGGTACGTGCGGTTTTACGCCTCTATCGGCCCCTCACGTTACCCGACACGTTGGGGGGCTGAGGTCCCAACTGCGACTCGTCGTCGGTCGAATAGGACGCATCCCACTTACCACGCGTTACACCCCTCTAAGAACAAAAAAATAAACCATACACACCTGTGTTATTTTTCCGGATATCAATCAATCAATCAATCAATCAATCAATCGAAAAAAAAAAAAAAAAGTTGTTTTCCAATCGAATGAATCGATTCGATTGGATCTTGAGTTTGATTCAACATCAAGATCCTATCAAATCAATTGATTCGATTGGAAAACAATTTCTCTTTTTTTTTTTTCGATTGATTGATTGATTGATTGATTGATTGATTGATGGGATGGTGTTTTTTTTTTTTTTTCGTAGATCAATTAACGGGAAAAAAAAAGTTGGTCCGGGCGGTATGAGGCCAAACGCGTGATCGGTTGGAAAGTGAGGAGGAAACGGTCGACGAGGAGGAGGAGGAGGATAGCGAGGAGGAGGAGGACGACGACGAGGAGGAGGAGGACGACGACGAGGAGGAGGAGGATGACGAGAAGAAAAGAAAGAACAATATATCAATCAATCAATCAATCGATCAATCAATCAATCAATCAAACAAACAAACAACACATCGGATGTTGTTTTTTGAACGTTTTCAATCTTTGCAGGTCATGGCTGGTCGTTTATAGGCGAATGTTGATAGCGCTTCATACATACGAAGTGTGTATGTGTGTGTGTGTGTGTGTTTGTGTGTGTGTGTGTGTGTGTGTGTGTGTG